TTTTAATAGAAACACCTTTTAAATACAATAAAAGTATACGTAAGCAAGCTGCTTTAAGTGGCATAAGTAAGTGCTTCCAATCAAGTTACCAGAGTTACTAAGGTTACTAGAGTTTCTAAGGTTATTAAGGTTATTAAGATTACTAGAGTTATTAAAGTTACTAAGGTTTTCATTCTACGGTCCAACGCTTTTAAGATTCCGATTTCGATAAAAATACTTTTGATAAAAACACTTTTAAATATAATAAAAGTATGCGTAAGCAAGCTGCTTTAAGCGGCATAAGTAAATGCTTTTAATCAAGTTATTAGAGTTACTAAAGTTACTAATCTACTAAAGCTCACTTTTTATAAATCGACGTATTAGATTTGCTATAAAGTCTAAAGCATTCTAAAGAAGCTTTATCAATCAGCGTATTAGTAGTCTTATTAACAAGACTTTACAAAGAGTTGATTATAATAACATGCGATTAAAGCCCGTTATCTTAATTTTATATACTTTCTTATTACTTAATATACTTAATACGAGTAACATATTATTTCTTCAAAAGGTTTCTAGTTCTTTGCTACCGTCCTATCAGCTAAAACAAGATAACGATAAAAAAGAAAGCTATAAAGAACCGGGTTTCGCATCTTCACTACTTGTCCGAATAAAAAAAAAGCGTTTTCGTTACTCTCTTAATTAAAAGAAAGCTAAACAACTCTTACTAAGAGAATCGCCGCCGACCCGTGAGCGACTTAAGAATTAAGTATTAAGTTCTTCTTTACTTCGATCGTTTAACGTTTCGAAAGCTTCTTTTAGTTATCAAATGTTCTTTTCTGATTCCGGATCCGAACTAAAAGTTATCAGCCCCTTCTTACTTAACTTAAAGCAAAACCGCGAGACTCGAGAAAGTCGTAAGATTAAAGCTAACACCGAAAAAGACTTCCGAATGCAACGCAAAAAGGCTCGTAAAGCTGTAAAAGATACTACTTAAGCCGAAGAAGAACGCCGCCGCAACTTCTAATTTTAAAAGTTTATCCTTCTCTCGGACCTATCATAACCGTATGCTACTCTAGCCGAGTACAAGCCGGCGGTAAATAAAAAAGAATAGCAAATGATTTAAGATTTTCACTCGATTATAAAAGCTATTTAAATAAACCTTTGCTTTCGCTGCAATAAAAGATAATTCGAAATGCAACTTAAAGAAGTTCGCGGCGATATCATTTGTCACGAGTATGACCGCTATAATAGATCTATTAAAAAACCGGATCTCTTTAAACAGCTTTATCTTATAACAGCTAGCAATAATATAAACTCAAGTAAAGTGCCGGATTACTTGCCGAAGCTTTCGGCATTAAAAGAAGCGTTGATCTTATTATTACATATTAATATATCGCTTTAGCGCTACCGCGGCTATTAATATAAGTACTCGAGCCACGTAATAACTTTTGCTTCTAATAACGCTAAGTTCTTTAAAAATCTTCTTTTGCTTTTTAAAAAAGTCAACGTGATTATTCTTAAGCTTAAAGGTTCTAATAAAAATCCTCGAATTAACAAGCAGTTTAAAAAGGAATGCCGAGTTCGGCGCTTTGCGATCTACATTTAACTTACTTTTTTAAAAGCAAATAATCTTGAGTATATTAATATCAATATAAACTAAGACCTAATAGATTCCTTGCTCGTAGATAAAGATATAAAAAGACGGGTCACAATTATTAAGAACGAAACACTTGAACAGCTTCTATTAAAGACAGCGGCTTTAAGTACAAAGTCATCGGCACAAAAACGCCGTCGCTTGCGCCGAAAAGCTCGCGGTAATCTTAAAGAAAATTCGAGCGAAAATAAAGCTCTTGCAACCGATAAAAATGCTTTATCTAATATAAAGGATTACTTAAATGCTAACGATGACTTACTTAATAATCAAAAGCGTCTTTTTTTAAAAACTATAGTTCTCGATTTGAATCTAAATACTACGAAATCCAATCAGCTCTTTACTTAAGTTAATAAACTTGCATCGAAGCAGCATGTTTTTGCTTTTGCTTTAAGCTAGCGATTCACGCTAATCTCTAAGCTAAAACCTAATCAAAAGCTCTTTAATTTAGCTTTTCTTACACTCTTCCTTACTAGCGCAAGCGATTTCTATACTTAACGACTCCGAAAAGTTAATATAAAAGATTATACTAAATACTTAATAAAGTACCGCGATAAGCGTTTTGCGACCTACTTTCGTTTCCGGTTCTACTTTTTTAATATTTTAATGCGCTTTAAAGTCGCA